TCGTCATGATTATTTGAAGTTCTATCAATTGCCCAACAATAATTGTTTTCCCACCGTTTGTTATTTTTCTCGAGATAAGCCACTAGTGAAACCTACGGCCCCTGGGTCTCTTTTCATCATATTTGCCTTTGCGATCTATTTTCCTTTGCATTTATTTTCAGATCTATTAAACCAAAAATACAAAAATACCTTGCTGCAACTTATTTTTTCCGCAATCTATTTATCCCATCTACCACTTTTACCTCACGTTATTTGCCTATCTTGAGGCGCCGTACCCGAAAGGGACTGGCAACCCCTTTAACACGTCGGGTTGCGAGTATTTGTTATTTGTGTGTAGGTGTTGTTTACGTGGTGTGAGGAGGTTCTCTACTGGTTTGATAACCTCGGTCTCATCACTAAGGGAAATACCTACCGTCGCTATACTGCATCATCCCTTCCTCTTTGGGGAAATACCGACTTATCACGCGTGTGGAGGTCGAGGCGCCTCCGTTTTGGCCCGTTGGGCGGCAACATTTCGAGTTGATCTGCGCACGACAATGATCTCATTTCACCAGGGCGAAAATTGCTCTATCTCAATCTAGCCGCCTTGCTTCACTGGATGATGAACAAGTGGTGGTTGATGCACGGTTCCTCCGTGAGAATGAATCCATTTCCGTTGGTGACCAAGTTTCCTTCCCCTGCTCCATTGCCACGGTGGGAGGATGAACTGATCTAAGATCTTCATCTGCATCCGAGACGATCATTCACCCCCCCCCTTGAAAAGATTTTGCCGGGGCATGTGGTGGATCAAAGCTATGAACCTACTTTGAATCAGAATCTACATCTAGATCTTTGTTCAATCATGGAGTTCCAGAGATTCATTTGGCAAAAGTTTAACTCCCAAGTTGCTTTGACTCATGGACGAGGTGCACGAGAGTTCTTTTCGGTGGCTTCTTTCGAGCGACACAAACACATGTTGTACTGTTCAAATGTGAGTGAGTATCTTAGGTCATGCCTGGGTGGTATTGCACTTGATTTCAGAGTATGTCTCCCGCGAGATCAAACTTTTCGCTGTTCAGTCTTCTCTAAAAAAGTGGGTTTTGCTATGAATGCCCTTAAAAGTTATGAATGTTCAGAATTCATGGTGTATTTCAGCCTGTGGGGCAATGGCGGACTTGATTTTATCAGAGAGTACAAATTGTGGGAAGAGGAGGAGCTGTGCTCTTAGACTGTAGTAGGGAAAAAGAAAGCAATCACCAGGCTGGACTCTGTTGGTAACGTTACTCAGCATCGCCCGAGCTTTGGTCCCAAAGATGGGGTCTATTCTTACATGAATAGATCTTGTCTAAATCATGTCATCGTTCTTATTGCATTACTTTGTTTCTCCATGAACTTCATACACTAGATGCATGTTGGATAGCGGTCGATGTGTGGAGTAATAGTAGTAGATGCAGACTGGAGTCGGTCTACTAATCTTGGACGTGATGCCTATATACATGATCATCGTCTTGGATATCGTCATAATTGTTTGCTTTTCCAACAGTAATTTATTTACCCACAATATGCTATGTTCTCGAGAGAAGCCACTAGTAAAATCTACGGCCCCCGGGTCTATTTCTCATAATATATTTTCAGATCTATATTTCTATTTGTGTTTCCAATTTATTTACCTCTTTTGTTTGAGATCTATATTATCAAAAACCCAAAAATATCTCATTGAGTTTTATTTGCTTTTATTTGATTTGCATCTATCAATCTACCTATTTATCATATTTCAATACCTTGGAGGGACTGACAACCCCTCTACGCGTTGTGTTGCGAGGATTTGTTGTTTGTGTGTAGGTGTTGTCTGCATAGTTTTGCTTGGTTTCCCTACTGGATTGATAACATTGGTTTCATAACCGAGGGAAATACTTACCGACACTATGCTGCATCATCCCCTCCTCTTCGGGGAATTTACTGACGCGGATCACAAGTAGCAGCGATCGCTTCGTAGTTTCATTGACCGTAGATGATTAATTTTGTGTTCATGTTTGTACCTATTTTGGGTACCGGGAAGAACTCCACGGCGGCGTTATCATCCTCCAGCACGCCCACCTGCACCCGAGCCACCGGCCCTGGGGCCGGCTCGACCCTCCTCGCCTCCTGTCGTCCTGCTCCAGGGGCTCTAACCGGCTCCTGGCGCGGTGATCCCGCCTCACGTACTGCTGCTCCTGCTGAGCGAGACCGCTGGATCAATGAAGGAGGTGCTCACCGGCGGAAGGGGCACGTACTGCTGCTGCTGCTACTGAGCGAGCATGCTGGATCGATGTAGGAGATGCTCACCGATGGCGGGGGCACGTGCTGCTGCTGCTGAGCGAGCATGCTGGATCGATGCAGGAGATGCTCACCGGCGGCGGGGGCACGTGCTGCTGCTGCCGAGCGAGGTAGACGACGACCTCCCACGCGCCAAGCACCGCGGTTGTCGCGTCATCCATCTATGTGGGCACTGCTTGGCTAGGAGGAGGCGATCGTGGAGGGGACCGGCTTGGTGGTTCGGCCGGGCGCGGTTGGAGTTGGGGGGAGTAGACGAGGTGGTGGGGTGTGGTGCAGTCTCACAAGTACTCGCCAGTGAGGTAGACGGTGGCGCGACGCCGAGTCCGACGGTGGCCGTGGTGCCCAAGTCCGACGACGAGGGCGAACTAGTTGTTGGCGTCGTCGTCGTCATCCACCGCAGTCGCGCGTGGCGATGGTGGGCGCGTTGTCACCACCCTGGTACAAGGTGTCGAGGCAGAGCGCGTTCAACAGTGGCCGCGTCGAACTAGTCCGACAGGGGTGTGACGAACTAGTCTCCGTAACTGTGTGTTAAATGTGTGTTATACATAGATGTTAACTCTTAATCATATCCCGTGTATATAACCAATGAGTTAAATACACTACAGATGCCCTAACTTGTCCGACGCGGTCAGTTTGGTGCCTAAACTTGAAAAATACATAAAAGTGGTACCGTAACTTGTCTAGGCGTTCAAATACGGTACCTCTGGACATATGCCGCCGTATCAAGTGCCCGTATGGCACGTCAGCGTGTCGCTGGGCCACATGTCGGTGGTTGCAGGCGTGTTGTGAGCTGTGCGTGTAGTTTTTCACAGAAATACCCTTGGCTTTAGTTAATTTTCAAAAAAAATCGTTGCGGGCGGTGGACGCACGCTGTTTTTCTTAGGAGAACGCGCCTGTACTTTAATTAATTTTCACAAAAATATAAACACAAGATTGCCTGACGGGAATTCGAACCACGGACCTCCTTGTTGCCTAACAAATAAGCGGACTAAGGCCACACGTATTCCTACAGTGTGTTCTGGAGTACTGCTTCGTTTTTTTAAGTGAAGTTTCTGTTTAATTTTCATTATACATAAATTTTCCCAAATATAAAATAACTATCAATATGCAATTATTGTTTATTTCATATCTGCTTTCATTATTGTGTACCTTGAAGAGATAAACATGAAAATTTTCTAAAATTTATGTGGATATAAAAGGTTGATCGTATATTAAAAATTATTGTGTAAAATTATGCATCTTCATAAAGGACCATAAGCACGAACAATTATTTTCTATCTTCATTCTATTTTTAAAATGCACAATTATTTAAAATTGACAATATTGTATTTTAAAAACTCATGAACGTGTATTAATTGTTATTGTCTGACAATAATAAATTCTAGAAATGTACTAACATGTCAAGTGTGTTTGTAGAGACTTAAGAATAATATTACACATTTTTTAATACGCATTCAACATTTTCAAAAAACACAGTGAGCATTTTCTAAAATAATAGGAAAATGAACGCGAACGTGTATTTCAAAAAATGCTCACCGTGTTTCTAATATACGTTCAACTTTTAAATTCTACATCAATTTTAGAAAAAGTTCATGTTTATCTCTTCAAAGTACACAATCATGGAAATAGAATAGAGAAATAAAATAAACAATAATTTCGCATTACAATTATTTAATGTTTTCATATGAAAAAAATTTATGTATATGAAAACTAAACAGAAATTTCGCTCGAAGGAAAACAAGATAGTAACTTAGAAATAAATAAAAAGAAAAATACTCCTGTAAAAGTATATGCAAAGCGACAAGTACAATCATCTATATAAACTGCTTGCTGATAATTAAGCGCACACCAGACCGTGGCCGCCTGGTCCGCTCGATTGTCAGGTGACGAGGATATCCCATGTCCGAATTCCCTGCACGCTCGCTTCCTGATATTTTTTTGCGAGTATTAATTAAAATGAAGGAGTATTTTTGCGAGAATTAATTAAAATCAAAGGGCATTTCTGTAAAAAAACACGCATAGCTCACAGTGTGTCCAACGCCTACAAGAACTGACATGTGGCCCAGGGACACAATCGCATGCCACGCGGACACTCGATTCAGCGGCATACGTCCAAAGGCACCACATTTAAACGCCCAGACAAATTACGACACCACTTTTGTGTATTTTTCAAGTTTAGGCACCAAACTGACCGTGCTGGACAAGTTAGGTCACCTGTAGTGTATTTAACTCATAACCAATCATCGTGTAGTTCCGTGTGCCGAGCCAATGCGGGCAACCAAACTAAGTGCATATATTGGTTTTTACCTGTTTTTATTCAGCCAGGCTAAATGCAATAGAGATTTCAACCAAACGCACCCATTTCGTTTCACATCGGGGCCTGGATGCAAATTGTTGACACGGCAGGAAGACAACACGCCTCCACGATCCGAGTGACACCCCTTGGACCAATCAGATAACGTGAACCACCTCCCACGGATCGCCCCCCGCGAAGCTCGATCCCAACCGTCCACGCACCACACATCCAACGATCCACGCCCACCTTCCCACACGAAAAGGCAAAGCTCACGCGCCCTCCCCTCCAAAATCCCCCGCCCGCTCGGCGCTCATCTCCTACTTAACGCCGCCCACTCCCATTCTTCTTCCTCACTCCAATCCAATCTCCCAAACCTTCTCCTCCTTCTGAACCTCCCGGCGCATCTCCGACTCCATGGCCCGCACCAAGCAGACGGCGAGGAAGTCCACCGGCGGCAAGGCGCCGAGGAAGCAGCTGGCCACCAAGGCCGCCCGCAAGTCCGCCCCGGCCACCGGCGGCGTCAAGAAGCCCCACCGCTTCCGCCCCGGCACCGTCGCGCTCCGCGAGATCCGCAAGTACCAGAAGAGCACCGAGCTGCTCATCCGCAAGCTCCCCTTCCAGCGCCTCGTCCGGGAGATCGCCCAGGACTTCAAGACCGACCTCCGCTTCCAGAGCTCCGCCGTCTCCGCCCTGCAGGAGGCCGCCGAGGCCTACCTGGTGGGGCTCTTCGAGGACACCAACCTCTGTGCCATCCACGCCAAGCGCGTCACCATCATGCCCAAGGACATCCAGCTCGCACGCCGCATCCGTGGCGAGAGGGCCTAAGCTCTACGCGTCGTCGTCTTAGCCAGATGTGTTCGTCGGTGGAAATGTGCGTGCTAGTGTTTGTTCTTGCCATGGTGGATGTAGTGTGCCTGATCTGATGTCACCATCTTGCTGTCATCAGTAATTTAGATGAAAATGTTGGCTATCTGTTATTGGATCTGTTCCTTTTGATGCCTGTTTTTGCTTGTATGTGAGCCTGTCAGCGAATGTGATTCACCCTATCGTGCATTCTATTATCCCAACTTGTGAAATTTTCTGCCGGTTTAATCTACTGTGTCTTAAATCGCTTCAACTTTTTAGCTTAAACTATGTCTTTGACTATTAGATTTCGTCATCAGTAGTAATTTTGCTGACTGCCTCTGAACCTGAATGAACAGCCTTGGCTCGTTCAGTTCTGTGTGTCCATCTGTTTTATCCTGTTATTACTTTTGGCTCCTGACTGTTGTAAATAACCCTCACCTGTACCATGATGCTAACAGCGGGTAAATCAGGATATAGACGAGAGATGTTTCTATTTTGTACTGCTCATAGAGTACATACTGTTTGAGTACAACTGTATCATATTTGTTGTCGCATGCCATGGTCCATCTGATGGATTTCTTGCACCTGCAAATGACAGCGTGGTTGAAGTAGAAGGTGCAACTAGAGATGATGCAGGTGAAACTGCTGCAGGTCAGGAAGGTGAACATATGTTGGGTGATATTTTCAGTAATTTAATGCTGGAAAGATATCCTGTAGCGGAAGAGAATTTTTTTGTTTGAAAATTAGCGAAAGAGGATTATAGTTTGTCTATAAATGTCTTTGATCTTGTCCATAATGCTTCCCCTGCAGAGCAATGTCTTGTTGAATGCAATGAAGAACTATGAAATCCTAGCCAAGGTGAGAGACTGCATGTTTTTGCAATTGAAATTCCTTCTTTGAACTGCAGAACGTAGTTTTGTTCTTACCTGTCTTAAGATCCATTTGCAGATGATTCTGTTGGCATCTGGTTTATGGTTTACACGTCTCCACAGATCCGAGAAGGATGAGGAAGCTCTTGATATCAAATACTCCCTCTGTCCCATAATGTAAGACGTTTTTTGGCACTACACTAGTGGCAAAAAACGTCTTACATTATGGGACGGAGAGAGTAGTACATAATTAATGATATCAAATGGTCACTGCAAAATTGAGCTAATGGGTTTTAAAATGTTTGATTTTTATTTTTAGCTTAAATGTTGCCCTGGCTGCTTCAAACCTCGTATTCAGTAATCTGGTTTGCTGCCTCTGAACCTGAACGAACAGCATGCTAATATTCTCGTCTTAACGGTACCAGTATTTTTTATGTTTGGCGCACAGATTCATGTTGAAGTCATCCCTCTTTTCTAGTTAATGATACAACAATTGTCTTAACCCTATTGCAATTTATGCTCTTCATGCATTACATACTGTTTTTAATAAGTACAACTGAATCATATTTGATGTCGCATGCCATGGTCCATCTGATGGATTTCTGGCTGCAAATGACAGCGTCATGATGTTGTCAATGGTGTGGTTGAGGTAGAAGGTGTAACTAAAGATGATGCAGGTGAAACTGCCGCAGATCAGAAAGGTGAATATATGCTGGCCTGTGCTAAGATCTTTTGAATAATTTGATGATGAAAAGAGATCTTGTAGCAACAAAGTATTATGGTCGCTAATGCTAACTGTCTTCAACCTTGTTCATAATGCTTCCTGCAGAGGAAAAAAGGCGTGGCAGATTTCAGGTTGAGTGTCATGAAGAAACATGAAATCCTAGCTGAGGTGAGACAGTGCACTTTTTTTTTTGGCAATAGAAGTTCCTTCTCTGAACTGTCAGGCGTTTTTGCTCTAACATGTCCTTAGATCCATCTGCACACAATTCTATAGTTTGGTGTCTAGTTTATAGTTTACATGTACTCAGATCTAAGAGAAGGATGATGAAGCTCTTAAGTATCTCAAGGATATCATCATTATTGAGGAAAATGTTTTAAGTTTGATCCTCACTTCATAATGTAGTGAAAATGAATGCAGAAAAGTCTTGACATGTTTATAATGCTTCCCTGCAGAGGAAAAATTGTGCCAGATTTCTGGTTTAATGAAATGGACGACCATGAAATCCTAGTTGAGGAGGTGGGACACTGCATATTTTTGCAATAGAAGTTCCTTGTCTGAACTGTCGAATGTATTTTTACTCCACCTTCCACCTGTCTTCAGATCCATTTGCACACATTTTTACTGTTTGGCATCTAGTTTATGGTTTACATGTACCCAGATCCATGAGAGGGTTCCTGGAAATCCAGGAGAGGGTTGAGGAAGCTCTCAAGTACCTCAAGGACATCAAACGGTACAGAATTAGTGAGCCAAAGGGTTTCAAGCTTGATACTTCCATATTAATCTAGTCTTGAAGAATGAAGTGCTTACAAAAACGTATCGCACGATCGATGAAGACGAACCAATCCTAGATAAGGCCACTGGGTTAATGATTTCTTGAACTCACATGTTCTATTTGTTACTATAGATTGGTCCACTAATGTTTATGTTTTGTTAATTTCCTGGTACTGAAATTGAATGGTATCCTGGGAAGATATGGACACAAAAGGTGCTAAAAAAGAAGTCAAAGAACACTAAACCTATCACGAAAACAGAAAATTGCGAGAGCTTCTTTACTTTCTTCAGCCCACCTCAAGTTCCTGACGAGGATACAGTAAGTTAGACCCCCTTTTTGTATGCTCTTATGTTTGGACAGTTGCCAAATTCGATCTCTATCTCTCCCTCTCCCCCTCTCTCTCATTTTACTACGCTGAACAATTGCAAAACCAAATGGAGCAACATTACGTTGTAGGGTATGCATATTATATTCTACACAGAACTCACTAGCGCAGTTTTGCCGTCGTGGCTATGTGGAATGGCGTGATCTGATGTTATTGCCATCTTGCTGTCAGCAGCAAATGAACAGGTTGATGTCTGTGCTCATACATGTGCTTTCCAGCCCCTGTTTTTTCGTTGAGCCTGTCCCCAAATGTGATTTCGCCAAATGGTGGGCTATATTACCCAAACTTGTGAGCTTTACGGCAAAATTGAGCTACTGTGTACCGCCTCCGTTTTTAAATATAACCTCTTAAAGATTTCAACACGGACAACATACGGATGTATATAGACATATTTTAGAGTGTAGATAATCTCTAAAAGGGCTTATATTTAGGAACGGAGGGAGTACTAAATTGCTTTGAGTTTTTTTAGCTTAAATGTTGGCTTGGCTGCTTTAAATTTCGTATTCAGTAATCTGGTTTGCTGCCTCTGAACCTGAACGAACAACATGCTTATCCTCCGTCTTCACAGTACCAGCATGTTTGATGTTCAGTGCACAGTTCTTGTTGAAATAATCCATCTTTGGCCGAACGATACAGCAATCCTGCATGTGTCTGAACCTTGCCTGTGCTGTGCCCAGGGAAGGCTGGCATCCACATCTGCCTGAAGATATTGGGCGCATCACCCACAATTTCTAACTACCCGTCTGAAATTGTGAAAGACAAGGGAACAGAATCGATCATTGATCTTAGTCACAACTACTTTTTAAATTCATTTATTAATTTTAATCAAAAAGTACTGGTAGAGAGAGTCGTTGAGTCCATTTTATTTTTTTGGGGAAAAAGGATGGCCGCTCGAACCAAACTATTGACCTCAGTTGCCTAAAAATAGTCAACAACTCTTTCTACCAGCATCTTTTGATTTTTTTGAGGGTTACCCACATTTTTTTGATGAGTGAAGAGAGCAGAGAGTCAACGAGTTGATTTTTTTTTTAGATTTTTTTCAAAACTATGACGTATTTTATAGCAAATTCGGAAACTATAGCATGCAGTGAAGAAAAATCAAAACTAGCACCCCGTCGGCCACGCGTTGGCCGAAAAGGGTGTTTCTTGGCCGAAAAGGACTTCTCGGCCGTGCCTAGGCCGAAGAGGTGCGTACTTGGGCCGAAAAGACCTTTTTGGTCAGCAGTAGGCCGAAAAGTCCTTTTTGATCAGGAGCAGGCTGAAAAGTCCCTTGGGCCCACCTTTTCACGTTAACGGTTGGCCGAAATTGCATGGTTGCACTCTTCGGCTTACGTTAGGCCGAAAAGTTTTTTTTTTTTAAATTTTTGGCATATAAATACTGTGCAACCATTGCCCATCTTAGACATTGAAAAAAATTATATTTTCATGCAACACTTTCCTCTCAATATTTTCCCGCCAACTCTTTCCCTCCATATGTTCCCGTGACCCGTTTCGCGCCAACCCCTTCCCGCCTTATCTTCCCGCCACCCGTTTCCCGCCAACCCC